CTGCTGTCTGCCGCGCGCCTCCCCCAGCCCTCCTCTCGGCGAGGCTGCGGTTTGCCGTGCCTCCCGCTTTCTCGAGGCTGCTGCCTGCGCTGTGCTTGGAATAGCCAGCCAGCTTGCGGCCTCGGCTCGGGTGCCAGGCCCTGGCCTGTCCTTCTGGCCCCGCTGGCCGTACCGGGCGCTCGTGGCCCCAGAAACCGCCCGAGACCTGCCTCCAGCTCAGACGCCGCCCTCGCTCCCTGCCAGCGGCCCGCCGCTCCCCTCCCCCCCCGGAGCACCGCAGGTTCTCACTGCGACTGCCGGTGCAATCCCCGAGCCTCCCTCCCCTCTCTCGGAGACGCGCTGGGGGGGGGGGAAGTGAGAGGGGCAGGCCTGCTCAGAAGGCGGCGGGGCTCATCAGAAGCCCTCGCGCCTTCTGATCGGAGGGCACCAACTATTCACCAACACCGATCCTGGCCCAGGATCACCCTGGGCCCAGGATCGGTGTATATGCCTTCTTGCGCAAGGCAGGAGGGCGTATACACCGATCCTGGGCCCAGGGTGATCCTGGCCAGGATCGGTGTTGGTGTATAGTTGGTGCCTTCCTATCAGAAGGCGGCGGGGCTCATCAGCAGCCCTCGCGCCTTTGAGAAGCTATCTGTCTTCGGAGGAGGCTTCGAACACTTCTCGGAAGCCGCGAGGGCTTCCGAGCCTTCCGAGAAGGCCCCCCCCCATCCGACTTCCTCCCCGGCCTCGCCGGCGATTCTCGGCATCGTCTAACCGACCCCCATCCCCACTGGGCCATTTTATCGTAGCCCCACCAGCCAAGTCCCCAGATCTCCTCCTCCTCCTCCTCATCATCCTCCTCCTTTTCCCTCCTCCCCTTCTCCTCCTCTTCCTCCTCGCCCCCCTGCTGGTCGCCTTCTTGGCGTTGCTGGTGGTGGCGGTCCTGCTGGTCGCCGTCGTGGCGCCGGGGTGTGGTGGTGCAGTTGGTCGCAGTCGTGGTGGCGTTGCTGGTTGCAGTGGTGGTGGTGGGGCCCCGCGAAGCCCGAAGGAGACGGCATATGTCCCGACCTGGGGGGTGAAGTCGGCCAGCGGGGCCAAGGCGATGCCAGTGGGGATGGGGAACAGGTAAACGATGCTCACCTCCCCCCCCCTCCCTCGTCTCCGATGAGGGGTCGCGAGGCAGGAGAATTGCGCACGGCGCGCGCTCGTCGTCGTCGTCGTCGACGACGACGGCGACGACGGCGAAATCCCAGCGAGTGTGGCAGCGCTCCGCCCTTCTCCCCCCCTGGAGCGCGAGGTGCCTTGTGCCCGCAGGGACCCAGAGCATGTCGCCCAGGGAGGCCCTTACTGGAGACACCTGGGAGGCGCGTGTTTGATTGGTGAAGACGCTTGTCCTACAGACTCGAGTCATCATGGCATGCATGCACGCGGTGAGGGGAGGCGGACTGGGGTTCAACATCTGCCTAGAATAAAGCCCCATACTCCTCCCAGACGCCATCTTGGCTAGTTTTCTAAGCTGCGTCCAGCCGTGGCGTCGAGAACCTCTTGAAACACGCACGGAACTTCGAAACGAAGAAGTCGTCGCCGTCGTCGTCGTCGTCCAAGGGGGTACCGCCTGGTCGGGACCGTGCCGGTAGGGTGTGGAGCGCGGCAGCGGACGCCTGCGCGACGAGTGGCCCACGGAGTAGTCCACGGCCTGGGCAGCGGACGCCTGCGCGACGCCGCCTGGAGTGGCCCACGGCCTGGGCGCCAGCACAAATAGCATTCGAATCAGTGTCCTCCTCCTGAGGAGGAGCAGGAGGAGGAGAAGGAGGAAGGCCAAAGGAGAAGGAGGAGGAGGAGGAGGAGGAGGAGGAGGAGGAGGAGGAGGAGGAGAAGGAGCAGGATGAAGAGGATAATTGAGAAGGAGTGAGGGGCGCTGGAGGAGGAGGAGGAGGAGGAGGAGGAGGAGGAGGCGGAGGACCAGTGTAAACGCAAGACTCATCAACGATATTGCGATCAACCCTCCCTGCAAGTGCCCTCTTCTTCGGCTCCTACACGGACCCAGTTTCACTGAGGGCAGTGCCCCGTTGGAAGACAGCCGCTTGAAAATCCGGAACGGTGCCAGAGCGCAATTCTTGGGACTTCGCCGCCACGAGTACTCCAGATTTCGTAATAAAAGGGAGGGGGTCTCAACCCTCCCAGACGAGAAGTTTTAGACCCCCCCCCGTGGGAGAACCCTCCAGAACATCGTCCCCAGACCCCCCCAGGCCCTCCAAGATAGCCTCGAAGAGACCCCCCACCCGGAATGAGACCCCCCTCCCTTTTATTACGACATCTGGAGTATCAGTTCTTGTTGTGCCGTGAGGACCTGGAGAGCCGTGCCGGAACACCACTCCCGGGACTGCAACGCTGCGAGTCCACTGGCGCCCTCACCTTCCGACATCGTGCCAAACAGCCATTCTGGGACATTAGCCGTGAGAAGCCTTAAAGCTGTTGTGAACTCTAGATTTCGTAATAAAGGGAGGGGGGTCTCATTTCGGGGGGGTCTTCTCCAGGCTACCTTGGAGGGTCTGGGGGGGGGGTCTGGGGACGATGTTTTGGAGGGTTCTTCCACGGGGGAGGTCTGACATGGCTTGTCTTGGAGGGTCCAGACCCCCTCCCTTTTATTACGAAATCTGGAGTAGCCATGAGCAGCCATAAAGCTGTTGTGAACTCTCACGACGAGAGTGCGCGGCGCCAAGGCGAGAGTCACATTTTGCAAAGGAACCGCCCCGCCCCTCCATCTTTGAAGTTCTTGCAACTTTTCAAGACGAATGTGCGCGGCGCTAAGACGAGAGCCACATTTTGAAAGCGGGCCGCCCTCCCTCTGTGCAGCTGTTGCAATTTTTAAATAAGCTTCAGGATCATAGATTGTGAGGACTCAGGCAGACTGGCCCGTCCTTTCGACCAGCCTCAGGGTACGACAGCGAGAGTTATCCGTGAGGGAGAAGTAGATTATGATGATGCTGCTGACGATGATGATGCTGATGCTGATGATGATGGTGATGCTGATCCTGATGATGATGATGCTGATGATGCTGCTGCTAATGATGATATTGATCATGATGGTGATCTTGCTGTTGTTGACGATGGTAATGACGATGACGATGCTGCTGATGATGATGATGATGCTGATTCTGATTATGATGCAACTGATGATGATGACGATTCTGATGATGATGTTGATCATGATGATGACGGTGGTGATGCTGATGCTGATGCTGATGCTGATGCTGATGATGATGCTGATGATACTTGTGATGATGATGCTGATGCTGATGCTGCTGCTGATGATGATGATGCTGATGATGTTGCTGTTGTTCATGATGGTGATATTGCAGTTTTTGACGATGTCGATGACGATGACGATGCTGCTGATGATGATGATGATGCTGGTGATGATGATGATGCTGCTACTGTTGAATCTGATGCTGGTGATGATGCTGCTGCTGATGATGATGATGGTGATGATGACCTGCTAATGATGATGATGCTGCTGCTGATTCTGATGATGATGACGATGACGATGCCGATGACGATGATCAGGAGGAAGAGGATGATGATGAGGATGAGGAGGAGGAGGAGGTGGAGGAGGCAAAGGAGGGGTGATGTTCAGTGTGGGGAGAAAGAGGAGGAGAAGGAGGAGGGGGAGGAGGAGGAGGAGGAGGAGCACGAGGAGGAGAAGGAGGAGGAGGAGGATGAGGAGAGGAGGAGGAGTAGGAGGAGGGGAAAGGAGGAGGAGGATGAGGAGGAGGCGGAGGAGGAGGAGGAGGCGGAGTGATGATGCTTGTGGTGGTGATGATGACTATGATTCTGATGATGATGAGGAGGAGGAGAAGTGATGAGTGGTGGAGGAGGAGAAGGAAGATGAGGGTGAGGAGGGAGGAGGATGAGTCATGACGATGCTGCTGCTGATGATGACGATGATAATGATGCGGAGACGATGATGATACTGATGAGTATGATCATGCTGCTGCTGCTGATGATGATGATTCTCATGATGATGCTGGTGATGATGAGTGATGATGATGACGATGTTGTTGATGATGATGCTGGACATGCTGTTGTTGTCGACGGCGATGATGATGACGATGATGCTGATAACGAGGTCTATGATGATGGTGATGTTGATGATGGTGGTGGTGGTGATGATCATCATGCTCATTATGATGATGACGGTGGTGATGATGATGATGCTGATGGTGATGATGCTGGTTATTATGACGATGATGAGGATGATGAGGATGACCAGGATGATGAGTATGATGATAATCATGACGGTGATGGTGCTGCTGCTGATGATGATCATTATGTTGCTGAAGATGATGATGATGATGATGATGATGATGATGATGATGATGATGATGATGATGATGATGATGATCATAATGATGATGGTGATGATGATGGCGGTGGTGGTTGTTGCGATGGTGGTAGTGGTGATGCTGCTGCTGTTGTTGTTGATGATGTTGATGATGATGCTGATGCTGATGATGATGATGATGACGATGATGATGATGATGATGATGATGATGATGATGATGGTGGTGATGATGATGATGATGATGAAAATGATGATGCTGCTGCTGATGCTGATGATGATGATGATGATGATGCTGATGCTGATGATGATGATGATGATGATGATGACGATGATGATGATGATGATGATGATGATGATGATGATGATGATGATGATGATGATGATTATGATGATGATGATGCTGGTGATGATGATGATGATGATGATGATGATGATGATGATGATGATGATGATGATGATGATGATGATGATGATGATGATGATGATGATGATGATGATGACGGCTGAGGAGAAGGAGGCGGAGGAGGAGGAGGAGGATGAGGAGCGCCGGAGGAGGGGGGAGGAGTGGAAGGAGGGCGGGGATCAGGAGGGGCGGTGGAGCTTGGCAGGGGACGCCCCGCGAGCAGGCCCGGCCCTCCTCGCGCGCGGCGGTGCTGGAGACGGCGCGGGCAGCGCTGGACCGGCTTCAGGCCGTGCGCCGCGGAGTCCGCCGCAGCTGCCTGGCCACGCCCTCGGAGGTGCTTGACATCCTCGCGTCGTGAAGCGAGGGAAGAAACAGGATGACCATGACTAAACTATCAGGGGGTCTTGTCGACGCCGATCTAGGTCATGATCCATGCCAGCTGTCGCCTCCTCGAGAGGATGACCCGCGAACTGACGATGACCATGATGCACGATGGCCAAGGTCGGCACCGTTTTCTCGTTCAGTCTTGGCCATGGTCATCGCTTCCTGTCCCTGCAGTGAAGGATCGCGGCGGAAGCTTTGTAACCGCGTTCTGCCCCTCGGGGCCCTCCACGTGGCCCCGAGGCCGCCAGGCACGACTCAGGGCGAAGCACTGGCCCCCGGGAGGGGATCCAGGCCTCCGGGGAGCCACGTCCCCAGACATCCGACGACGTGTGCTTCCAGTGCGCGGCCCCCCGAGGCCCCGACCGCCTCGCCATGGGGGTAGTTCTTCGCCCCCCATCCGCCTCTGAGGACCCCGGGGCCCAGCAGCGGGTCCCACGGGCCGCAGTCGGGGGAGAGACGCCAAGACCGAGCTCGGCGGCGCGCCCGGGTCGGGGGCGGCAGAGAGGGGGGTGACGACGAGGGGGGGGGTGGATATCATGGCGGGGGCCATGGTGTTTCCCCAGATTTCGTGGCGCCTCTTCTTATTTCATCACGTCCCTGGGCCCCCCGCTGGGCCGCGCACATGCCGCCGGTCATGATTTGCACCCCCCCTTCTTGGACACCCCCCTCTCGGCCGCTCCCGACCAGGGGGGGGGACGTCAAGGGGGGGCAGGCCTCCTCAGAGGGCGGTGGGGTTTCTCAGAAGCCCCCCAGCCTTCCGAGAAATCGTGGTATGCTTTCGGAGAGGGTCGAGGAGACTTCTCCGAAGGCCAGAGGCCTCTCGACCCGCCCCCCTGACTTCCCCCTTTGGTTATGGACGTCGGTTAATGAAGAGGAAGCGTGCTACCAAACAATGCCCAGATGTCTTAATCATGTTTAAAGCATGTTTTGAATCTGTAAAGACATGTTTGAAACATTTTTAGAACATGTTTTATACAGTTTAAACACACTTGTATTTCAATGATGGGACTGTTCGAGTGTCCACTGTCATGGCATCCGCAACCCTGTGGGCTCGCCGCCGATTCTCAGCATCGTCTAACCGGTCCCCATCCCCCCCGGGCCACGCTGCCGCAGCCCCACCAGCCAGCTCTCCTCCCTCCTCCCATCCCTTGCGCCCCTTGCAGGTTTCGCGGCCCCGCAGGGAGCTTTACCGAAGGCCCCCGTGGCAGGGCTCGCATGCGGTTCTACCCCCATTTCGGCACGCCCCTCGCACGCTTCGTGCCCCCGCAGGGAGCGCCACCGAATGCCTCCGTGGCAGGGCTCGCGTGCGGTCCCGCTTCCATGTCGGCACACCCCTCGCACGTTTCGTGTCCCCACAAAGAGGTTCCACTGAAGGTTCCAGAGGCAGGATTCGCATGCGGTTCCATTTCCATGTCGGCACACCCGCCGCACGTTTCGTGCCTCCACAGGGAGCTCCGCCGAAGGCTTCAGTGTCAGGGTTCGCAAGCGGTTTCACTATGGTTCCGGCGCACCCCTTACCCGTTTCGTGGCCCGATAGGGAACTCCACCGAAGGTTCCAGTGGCAGGGTTCGAATGCGGCTCCGTTTCAATTTCGGCACGCCCCTTATTTGTTTCGGGCCCCCGCAGGGGGCGCTACCGAATGCCTCGGTCTCAGGGTTCGCATGCTGTTCCGTTTCCATTTCGGCATACGTTCGCACGTGTCGTGTCCCCACAGGGAGGCTCCACCGAGGGCCCCAGTGGCGGGGTTCGCATGCGGTTCCAGCCCCATGTCGGCACACCCTTCGCACGTTTCGTGTCCCCACAAAGAGGTTCCACTGAAGGTTCCAGAGGCAGGGTTCGCATGCGGTTCCACACCCATGTTGGCACGCGCTTCGCACGTTTCGTGGCCACGTCGGGAGCTCCACCAAAGGTCCCAGTGGCAGGGTTCGAACGCCGTTCCGCCCTCCATGTCGGCACGCCACGCACGCGTTTCGTGCACCCACACGGAGCTCCACTGAAGGCCCCAGTGGCAGGGTTTGCATGCGTTTCCACGTCCTCTTCGGCGCGCCCTCGCGAATTTCGTGGTCCCACAGGGGCTTCCACCGAGTGCCACAACGGCAGGGTTCGCATGCGTTTCCATTCCAATTTCGGCACGCCCCTCGCAGTGGCCCCATAGGGAGTTCCACCGAAGGCCCGTTGGCAGGGTTCGCATGTCATGTCGGCACACCCGCCGCTTGTGTCGTGCCCCAAATGGCAGGTTTCACTGGCAGTTCCACCCCCATTTCGGCACACCCCTTTTCGTGCCCCCACAGGGAGCTCCACCGAAGGCTCCAGTGGCAGGTTTCGCACGCGGCTCCACCTTCATGTCGGCACACCCCTCGCACGTTTCGTGTCCCCACAGGGAACTCCACCGAAGGCCCCAGTGGCAGGGTTCGCGCACGCCCGTCACGCGCCTCGTACCCCCGCAGAGAGCTCCACCGAAGGCCCCAGTGGCGGGGCCCGCATGCGGTCCCACCTTTATTTCGGCACAACCTTCGCAAGTTTCGTGGTCCCATATGGGAAACTCCACCGATGGCCCCAGTGGCAGGGTTCGCATGCGGTTCCACCTTCGTTTCGGCAGACCCCTCACACGCTTCGTGGCACCATAGGGAGCTCCACCGAAGGCTCCAGTGGCAGGGTTCGCATGCGGTTCCGCTTTAATTTCGGCACGCCCCTTACTTGTGCCGTGCCCCAGCAGGGAGCGCCACCGAATGCCCCGGTGGCAGGGCTCGCGTGCGGTTCCGTTTCCATTTCGGCACACCCCTCGCACGTTTCGTGTCCCCACAAGGAGGTTCCACCGAAGGTTCCAGAGGCAGGGTTCGCATGCGGTGCCATCCTCATGTCGGCACACCCGTCATACGTTTCGTGGCCCCATATGGAGCTCCACCCAAGGCCCCAGTGGCAGGGTTCGCATGCGGTTCCGCCCCCCATGTCCGCAAAGTCTCACAGGTATCGTGCCCCCACAGGGAGCTTCACCGAAGGCTTCAGTGGCAGGGTTCGCATGCGTTTCCATTTTCCTTTCTGTACACCCCACACACGTATCGTGGCCCCATATGGAGCTCCACCGGAGGCCCCAGTGGCAGGGCTCGCGTGCGGTTCCGTTTCCATTTCGCCACACCCTTGACACGTTTCGTGCCCCCACAGGGGCTCCACCGAAGGCCCCAGCGGCAGTGTTCGCGTGTGGTTCCACCCCCATGTCGGCACACCCCTCGCGCGTTTCATGGCCCCATATGGAGCTCCACCGAAGGCCCCAGAGGCAGGATTCGCATGCGGTGTCGGGTTCATTTTCGGCACGCCCCTCGCGCGTTTCGTTCCCCCACAGGGCGCTCCACCAAAGGCCCCAGTGACAGGTTTCACATGCGGTTCCACCCCCATTTCAGCACACTCTTCGCACGTTTCGTGTCCCCATATGAAGCTCCACCGGAGGCCCCCGTTGCAGGGTTCGCATGCGGTTCCGCTTCCATGTCGAAACGCCTCTTACAATTGTCTTGCCAACAAAGGGAGCTCCACCGAAGGCCCCAATTGCAGGGTTCGCGTGCAGTTCCAGCCTCCGTTTCGGCACACCCCTCACACGTTCCGTGGCCCCATGGGAAGCTCCACCGATGACCCGAGTGGCAGTGTTCGCATGCGATTCCATTTCAATTTCGGCACACCCCTCCACACGTTTCGTGGCCCCATAGGGAGCTCCACTGAAGGCCCCAGTGGCAGGGTTCGCATGTGGTTCCACTCCCAGTTCGGCTCGTCTGTCATATGTTTCGTGGCCCCATAGGGAGCTTCACCGAAGACGATACTCACGACCACGGAATTCACAACAGCACATGGTTGGGTCCTTCGCCAGGCTAATTTTGGATGGTGTATTTCTGGAACGAGCCACATGGCCACGTGGACGAGGGCAGAATCAGAGTATGATGGTAACGAATGGGGGTCGATCGTAGTCAGGGCGCGGGCCGCGGGGTTCGAGAGGTTGATCGTCTTGGTGGGCCTGACTGCCCTGTGTGGCCCGCCCGCCCCGACCTTCGGCCCAGGCTGAGCCGAGTGTCGCCAGGTCCACTTTGCACAAGCCTCGCCCGGGAATCTGTATCTCGGGCCGCTACAGTGCTGGGGATGGTGGGGTGATGACGATCCTCGTCTGCTTCCTCTCCCCAACTCCCGTTCTCCTCGTCGTTGTCCTTCTCTTGCTCCTCCCACTCCTGCTGCTCCTGCTCTGGCTCCTAATTCTGCCCTGGCTGCTGCTGCCCCCAGTCTCCAGTCTCTCTTCACCCCTTCGTAGGAGTTGGGTAGGGAGGATGATGATGATGATGATGATGATGATGAGGAGGAGGAGGAGGAGGAGGACCAGTGTAAATCCAAGAGGCATCAACGATGATGGAATAAACCCTCCCTCCAAGCTCCCTCTTCATAGGCCCCTCACAACGGTTCATTTCAACTGAGGGAAATGCCTTGTTGGAATGCAACTGTTTGAAGACTCTGAAGCATGCCAAAACATTATTCTCGGGATTCCAACGCCACGGATCAACTTGAATGTTGCGTCTTTGGCGATCCCGAATCGTGCCGGAACGCTATTCCTGGGACTTCAACACCGCGAATCAGCGTACCTGTTGCGCCCTCATAATCCTGAACCTTTCCAAAACACCACTTCTGGTACGCTGATCATGGGAACCCGTGAAACAATTGTTGAATACGACTGCACGCGGCGCAAAGGCGAGAAACACATTCTGAACAGCAATTGCCCTCAATCCGTGAAGCCTGCACATTTTTAGAACGAATGTGCGCGGCGCTAAGGTGAGATCCACGTTTTGAAAACGGCCCGCCCTCAATCCGTGAAACTCTTGCAACTTTCTGGAACGAATGTGCGCGGCGCTAAGGCGAGAGCCACATTTTTAAAACGACCCGCCCTCAATCCGTGAAGCTCTTGCA